TTGAGCTCTTAACGTCCTGCGCTGCATCTTGGGGGCTTTGTTCACCTGGATGTGCTCAATGACCAGAGAATCTACATCTAAGCCCTTAAGTTCAGCATTACTGTCTGCATTTTTGAGCATATGCAGAAAAACATTCAGCTCTCTTTTTGGGTCATCCACCCTGCGCCCAGCCCCCCTGTTTTGCCTGGGCATACCTGCCTGCTCCACCATTGTGATGACAGAATGGCTCCCATTGCTTCTGTCAAGTGACATCCTTCAGATACCTGGTGGCTTTTTGGATATGCATACCCTTAACAGCCTGGGCAGTTTCACGAGTGTTCTTAAAGTAAACATGAAGATTTGAACCTCTTGATTTGTATGATGTTGTGGGGTTTTCTGGGTCAAGAGAACAGTGAACTATTTTCAAAGGTCACTTCAGGCTGCTTACTGGAAAAAAAAAAAGCTCTAAAAACACTTTAAATTGCAGTTAAACTCAACGTGAGTAGCACAAACAATGTACATTAGGTAGTTGAAGCAGCAGCACATCAGTAGCGTTCACAGGTTTGTACATGAGCAAGCAGTGAGAGCTGTGTCACTCATGCTTCTGGCGGCCAGGGATTGTAACACACGTCATGATTTCACACATGCTAAAATGTAAACATATAAAAAATGATGAAGTGGAAAATACGCAAAGTAGAAAGTTATGCACTCTTGGTTAATATTATTTAAAATGTGTGCTAATAGACAAAAAGAGGTTATTTGTATTCTGTTTATCAGTATGAGTGGAACTATATAGCAAAACATTTCTGATAAAAGTGCAACTTGCTAAAAATATAAATTGAGGGAATTCTTTTGTGTAACATCACAGATACGTAAATTTGGGAGAAAGGCAAATTTCCATAATGTATATATAGATTTTTATTAAAAGTAGATTATTCCATGTCTATTTTAGGAAACCCGAGGAAACATACAACATCTCTGAAGAAAGCTGTAGACATGACTTGCCATGGAGAACCATCTCTTTATAACTCCTTAAACATGGCTATGCAAACTCTAAAGTTTGTATTTTACATTTGTTTATAATTTATTTCAAAGTGTTTTGAATGAGTTAAGTTGAAACAATAATATGTTAATTTGCATCTCCATAAACCCAGCTACAATGAAATTGTTATTAAGAGAAATATGTAGTGTCATTTATAATGTATAGTATGGTGTTGGTTAGGAATTTTTATTTTACATTTTAGTTACTGAGGTATATCCTTAAAGGTTTTAGAAAAATATAATTAAAACTGTAGCAATATTAGCAGTACAAAAGAAATATGATGACAAACATATTCTATTGAAAACTGATTGTGTGTGGAATTTCATGTGGTATAATAACTGTGAGTTTGTTGTACATTTATTGGTTTTTATTAGCTTAGTTTGTAACACATGTCTAAATTAATAGCACACTTTTCCAGCAAGTTTAGCTGTGTGGAAAGTATTCAATATAGTTAGAGCTTATATATGTTATCCCTGGATAGTCTGTCTTGACTCAGATTTTTATACCTTTATATAATAGATATTTTTCTAGTTTTGAAGTAGATTAGAAGTAACACACATAATAAAAGTAGCCACACTAGCAGAATTCACAAGTGAAAGGTGAGCCTACGAAAGTGTAAGCAGGATAACTATAAATCATTGATAAAATTGCATAGACAAAAAGCATAGAAATCTTTTATTTGGTATAGAGGAGAACAGCTCATCACACCTTAAAATCCCATAAGCCATCATTTAATTAAATGGTACATAAACCTTCATGTTTATGAGTACTATGACTCTGAATCACCATGAGGTTAAATTAATAGTGTTTAAAAAAGAAGTATGTTACTATCTTTAAGGCACATGTGTGCACTCTAAAGCTGATTTGTGTGGTATTGTCATACTCTCCAATGTACACTTTAGATTTTGTGTGGAACAAATCTATTAGAACATAAGCTTCATGTCAGGAACCTTGTTAGTCTTGTTTATTACTCTACCCCTGAAACTTAGAGTATTCAATAAACATTTATTGAATGAATAAGTGAATCGATGAATTTTTTTTAAGTGTGTAACTAATTTTAGAAAAATTTACCTTAAGGCGTTTAGAGTATACTCACAATCCATTCCTTTGCAGTCTTGAAACAAATAAGGTATTCTGTGGTCTAAATGTGTAAACCATGTGTGCTCTTCTTTCTGGATAAATTTTTTATTAGTGTAATTGTTATACCTAATTGGAATGTATTTTATCTTTCTTCAGACACATGCCTGGACATACAAGTAGAGAAGTCCTAATCATCTTCAGCAGCCTCACAACTTGCGATCCATCTAATATCTATGATCTAATCAAGGTGGAACCAATAATTTCTTCATACTTAAAATCAAAGTTACAACTCTGAGAAGAGTTATGTAGTGAATTTATTACTAGTCTTCAAAGCATTCTATTTTTCAAACACATTAATTATTTGATTTTTTTTCTTCCCTCAAAACCCTCCATTTACTTGGATTTTACAAAGACCCTAAAGGCGGCTAAAATTAGAGTGTCTGTTATTGGATTGTCTGCAGAGGTTCGGGTTTGCACCATACTTGCTCGTGAAACTGGTGGTATGTGTCTAGAATCGTCAATGTTTCCTCATAGTTAATCTGTAAAAAGTAACAGTTTATTAATAAAGAAGTTTTCATTTGTTTTTAAGCTGCTAAACTTAAATCAGTTCATGTCCTGAAGTCTAAAATATGGCTAGTCACATTAAATGTATCATTAATGCTATAAAATGGGTCTCAAAATGCAAGGAATTTTCAGTACTTACGTCATTGTTTAGAGGAAGCATTATACCTTGAAAAGCTAGAAATTTCACTATAGGTAATATTTAGTAAAGATCTTATAACTTGGATTTAATTAAATTGTAATTATACTTATTTCTAGAGAAGTCAGATAAGGTTTTTTAAATAGTTTAACTTAAATATTTATTCTGAAAATGAACACCTGGAGATGGTAAAGCTTTTACAGAATGATATAGAAATTATAATCATTCTTATGTGTGGAAAGCTGATGTTGCTTTTCTTTTACTTCTTGTCTTATTAGGCACATACCATGTTATTTTAGATGAAAGCCATTACAAAGAATTGCTAACACACCATGTTAGTCCCCCTCCTGCTAGCTCAAGTTCTGAATGCTCACTTATTCGTATGGGTAAGTATTTATTTTGTGTTGTTTTAAAATAGACATTTAAAAAAATGTATTTTGACTCAAACTAGACTTTTTGTTTTTGTTTGCACAAGTTATCATTTTAACATTTAAGAATTTCTTGTATTTAACTTAAATGTTTTATAATTAGAGAAAATTATGCTGTTGAAGCAACTTTGGTAAATACAGACAAGTAAAAAAATTAAAACTACTTGTAGTTCTATCAGAGAACACTACTGGTTTTTTCTTTTATTGTTAAGGCTAGAAAGATATAAAGATACTGTGTTTATAGAAAAATTCTTATATTAAGAAATTTTAGAAATTCCATTGTACTATTTGATCAAAGCTGTGTGATACAAACTGTGCAAAGACAGAAGGTTGAAAGGAGGTACATCAGATTGCTCACAGTGATTTTTTGGAGGAGAGGGAAATTGATGGGTTTTGCATGATTTTAAATTTTTTAAAATTTTCCTCTAGTTTCCAAAAATTATTTTATAGTAAACATTTATTGCATTTATAATTGAAAAAGCCCAACTTTGTCAACACAAAAAGCATCTCCTTGTTTAATACGCATTTTTAAGCTCAGTGAGATGGTTTTTGGCAATTTGTAGTACTGGTCAACATCTTCCTGTTTCTTCATCTCGAATGATATTAGTATCTGTCTCATTGTGTGTTGCAAGGATTGAGTTAATACAAAGTATTTAGAATACATAATTGACATAAACACTCAATACATTTTCGATATTATGTTGGCTAATCTTTTTTGATTTACTGATATATTTCCTTAGCTCATTTTAAAGTTATTATTTAAACTTATAGTAATTTATTCTCTAAATTGACTTGTTAGAACCATTTAGGAGTATCAACCCATTTTCTATCACCTGATGCAAATATTTTTTCAGCTGGTCATTTACCTTTACTTTTATTTATTTTGATATGTAGGTAGATTATAAATTTTTATATATTGAAATTTCTATTTTTAATGGTTTCTGCTTTTCTTAGACTTGTTTTCAGAATTTAAAAATATATATGGAATACAAACTACATGGATTTTGGGCATTCTCAAATTTTGAACATAGAAATATATTCTTATATAAAGTGAAAGTACACTATGTAATAGACTCCTCTGTTGTGTCAAACTATTTAAAAATTATACACATTTTCTTTTTAAAAAGCAATATGTGCTAAGTGTTGTTAAATTAGAAAATATAGGTATGAACTTTAGAATCTGGGGCCACCATGTGTGGACGCATCTTCCCCCCGTTTCCTCCACTGTTCGTTTTTCTTCTGACCTGGAATTGCTGTCAGTTTGACTATGCTGTAATAAACATATCTAAAAGACAGGAAAGAGAACTTTTGCACAACTTTGTGGGCTTTCTGGTAGGAACATTTTTAGGTTTCTAGTCCTAGAATTTTGCTATTTCCTTAGAAAAAGAAAGTAATACATTTTCTTCCATGAAGGATTTCCTCAGCATACCATTGCTTCTCTGTCTGATCAAGATGCAAAACCCTCTTTCAGCATGGCGTAAGTAAAAACCCTGAAACTGTCAGTGATAAATGTTTTTACATTGTTAATTCCTTCCTATAAATTATAAATTTAAAAGATGGGCTTTAAATGTAATGGCTTTTGTACAAGATTACTTTCTATGTAGCTGTAGAAAGGAGTGAAGACTATATACTCCTGTGGAGTAATCTTCAGGATAATATTACTAAGTAAAACAGCAAGGTGGGGAAAAGTGTATAGTATGCTACCGATCATCTAAGAAGAGGGTGGAGATTTGAATAGATATACATACTTGTTTATAATAATAAGAAAAATAGTAATGGAAACAAAAAGTAAAAATTAAAAAATGTTTACTTAGTGTGTGGAGAAAGGCAAAGAGATAGACTCTAGACTATTCTGAATATACCTTGTTTTAACTTTGGAGCTTTACATTTTACATAATTATAAAACAAAATTAAATTTAAGAAAGTAATTATTGAAACTCATAAATAAGACTACTGTTTCCAGCTATAAAGGTGTAATAGTGACTTCTGCCTCCTTGCAGAAACCAGACAAAATATACAAAACAATAGTTTTCAGACATTGGACAAGAAAATTGCACATAATGATCCCTGCAAGAAGGGAAACAGATGATTGCAGCTTGCTGCCTGGAGAGAATTTCCAGGCTGCTATGCAAGGAGGGAAAACTCACACAGAGCCTGGAGGTTTTGCTCAGTTCAGAAACAAAGTTCAGAGTTTGGGTAGGGATGGGTGGCGGTGGCTACTGTTTTGCAGGACAGAGTACACAGTAAAAAGAGCCGCACAGAGAGCTCTCGAGAGCTTCAGAGACTTCCCCATGAGTCATCAGCGCAGTACTGATCTGCACGTTTCTGTCAGGAAACTACTGGAGGCCGGGGAAAGAAGCACTGGAGAGGAGCAGAAGAACTATCCCAAGAGCCCACACAGGGCAGGGAATAGTTCGTGTTCCCTCCAGTTAGTGGGGAAAGGCCACGGGCATTGAATAGAGTCCACAGTAATGAAACCAGATTAACCCAAGACTAGCAGCTGTTCTGGACAGCCTGCCAGACTTAAAAGTATATTCCAGAAAAAGCCCCAACATATTTAAGGCAATACAAAAAAATCCAGCACCCAAAACAGAGTAGCATACTTTCTTTTGCTTTAACTGTTCACATCTTTATGTATCACTTTTTAAAAGTTAATATTTCCCCCCACAGGCATCTGGATAGCAACACTGAGCCAGGACTTACCTTAGGAGGCTATTTCTGCCCACAATGTCGGGCAAAGTACTGTGAGCTTCCTGTTGAATGTAAAATCTGTGGTAAGAAATCAACTGTTCATTTACTGATCCAGTAAATTGATTTTGAATAACTTCCAACCTATATAGCTATTAAAATAAATGTAAACGTTAAGCTCTGCTTAAGCTTCTGTTGTAGAATTTTATTTCATTTATAAGTAAGCAAATAGGCCAAGAGAGGTCACATAGTGAGAGAACTTAGACTCCATCCTGGAATCTCCTTTCATGGCCACATACAAACTAAAGAGATGAATGCCTGCAATCCTAAAAAAAAATCTTGAAAATACTTAGCCTAAGTTATATCATTTGACATTTTAGCCATCATCTTTGAGGTTTGGACTTTTAAACATGTCTCTCTGCTTTATGTGTTAGGTCTTACGTTGGTGTCTGCACCCCATTTGGCACGGTCTTACCATCATTTATTTCCTTTGGATGCCTTTCAAGAAATTCCCTTAGAAGAACATAATGGAGAGAGGTATATGAATTTTGACTAATTTATATCTGTTATAAGTAGTAATGTTTGAATATATTGTTACTACATTAGAAAAGAGTCATATTCAATGGGGCACAATTATTGCTAATATAGAAGAGATGTAGAATGCCTTGGTTATGATTGAAATGACTCATTAAATAGATCTTGATCTCTAGGAATCTGTTAATCTCCCTAAACCCATCTATATATAGTTAAGATTGCTGGTATACTGATAACTCAGCTCTCAAAAAAAAAAAGCCCTCATTTATAGCATTTGCTGATTTCCATGATATAAAACTGGAAGATTTATCCAGAAGGCCTAATATCAAAATAATATGAAAGATAAAAGATTAAATGAAGAGTGAAAAAGAAATATTCAAGGATATTTGAAGGAAAGAACTTTCCAGATTGAAAGGGACTGTCAAGTGCCTGACATTGAAGGCAGACAAACCTGCAGTAGAGTGTATCATTGTGAAATTTCAGAATATGCAGCAAAATACTAACTTTCAGCATTTCTGGAGCAGGAGAATTAGGTCATGTGACCTGGAATTAAAAGTGTTTGGCTTCTCATTAACAACACTGACTGGTGACAAGAAGCAATTTCCTTCAAAATTTGGAGTAAAAATTATCACCAACCTAAATTATATACCCAGCCAAGCTATCAATTAAATGTAGTTAGAATAAAGATACTTTCAAGACTTGTGAGATCTCAAAAAGAGACTTCCTGGGGAAGCTGTGGAAGAGATGGTTCAAAAGAACTGAGAAGAAATGAATGAAGGAGAATAGGAACATTTACCTAATTCAGAAATGGCTAAAAAAGTCTGTAGGATGATGGTAAGGGGACATCCCAGAATGACACTTGCGTGTCAGATACAGAGAAAGTCAGTCCAGCTTGGAGAAGGTCAGAATGCTCTAAGAGAGATGTCACCAGAGCATGGAAACTATAGAATTCCTGCTGTTGCTGAACATAACAAGAGGATATTTGGATTTTTCAGAGAACAGTTGGGGCTAAGTTAACGGTAATTACATAGAAAACTAAGCTCGTGAATAACAATACAGTCATCAACTCCAGGAAAAAAATGTTTTACAGAGAGGAAAAGTTGTATGGCATGACTCAGCCAAATATGTCTATATAGTCATAATAAGCTAAACATTTAATATTGTTCTATCCAAAATGATTCAACTACATAGAAAGAATTGAGAATGACATTTGTTATATGTGCTGTTGGTTCAGGAGGTTTGAAAGAGGGTTAAAATCTCATCTTGCATAGTAGGAAGTTCACAGCCAGTGCCTATGAAAAAGGTAGCACTATGAGCATAGGGAGCTGTTGGACAGTAAAAATTTTAGTGTTTCCTCTGGAAATGAAGTGGTGTAGGTAGGAAGGGAACTGCTTTTTTGTAATAAGTTTTGAGAACTTTCAACTCTTTAAAACACTTGAAAATTAAGCCCTTAGGCATCCATTCTTGTGATAAATTAACTTCTCTCCTATCCATCTAGATTTGTACCAGCTGTCTTCTGTCTTTGGGAAAGCTGAAAAATAGTCATTTAAATCATTTTCTGTAGGGCTTAATCCCCTTGCAGAATCCCACTTAAGAAAGCATACTCATACTTGTATTTAACCTTGATGAAAATAAAATTTAAGTAGTATTTTAAGCTGTCAGATGACTTTGGGATATACTGTGGAATTTTCTTAAATTACTGATATTCTTAAGTCTTTCTCCTAAGTTATGTGTAAAGATAATTACAGTTGACCCTTGAACAACATGGGTTTGAATGGTGAGGGTCCACTTATGTGCAGATTTTTTCAGTAAACACATAACTACAGTACTACGTGATCCACAGTTGGTTGAATCCTCAGATGTGGAACCACAGATATGGAGAGTCGGAGGGTTGGAGGACCAGAGGGCCAACTGTAAAGTTATACTCAAATTTTCGACTGCAGGAATCGCCACACCTAACCTCTTGTTCAAGGGTTAACTGTACTTATTAATTAAAGGATTCTTCTTATTGGGTTTTTTTCTGAGCTACTTTAATGAGTGAATTATTAACAAAATAATTTCTAAACTTTCTTTTTCAGATTTTGTTACAGCTGTCAGGGGGAATTGAAAGACCAACATGTAAGTTCATGTACTTTCTGCAGTCAAATGCTCTACCCCTGAGCTATACCCCCTCATGTACTTTCTAAATATTAAATGTTGTATGAGAAATAGCATTATAGTTTTCAACAGATTGTTGAAGACAAGTCTCATATAGCAGAAGGGAGAGAGAAAATGGGAGCTATTACAGACAGTTGTTTTATAATTCTGCATTCTAATTTTGTTATAAAGATATTTTAGTACTTTAAACTGTCTTCAGTTTGCAAGCTAAACTGCATTTAGCTTGGAAATACTAAGTTTTTTTCTCCATATTGTACTTTAGGTTGTGTTGTAACTCATTTTGAAGTTACCATTTAAAGCATCCACAGATAAAAGTTTATTCCCCCATTGTGCCACTGAGAAAATATTTTTTAAAATTTTGAAGGTGGCAAATTTGAATAAATAAACTTATGTAAAGTTGCAAATAAGACAGATCGCCATCTAGTTTTAATTTTTTATTAATTTAGTTACATGTCCGTATCTAAAACTATACAAACTATATAAAATCTTAAGTTGGAAGGATTGCTTGTTTATTCTATCACATTTCATAAAACAATTTTATTAAGTTTTCCATATCTCTTTGACATCAGTAGCTGCATTCTCATGACAACCACTTTTTGAATCGTGACAATTTTTAAGAACACATCGTCTTTTCTTCTGTGCTGTTTGAGATTTAATGATTTTTGAAACTGTATGTGATGTTGCCCTGGAAATTTTACCCCAAAGCACAAGTATTTATATATGTAACACTGATAGATATTATACTGTACTATAGTTACAGATACAGATATTATTTGATATCTATGTAGATATAAATAAAGATATTATTTTTCTTTCATTTGATTTGATTATTCTTATTATCTTATATATGTCTTTTGCCTTATTCTTTACTGGTTAAATTATTTAAAAGGGGAATATAACTTTTGCAATTGTGAGGTTATTCCCTAGGAATTTGTGTTAAATTTTTGTGCTTCTCTTTTTAATTGAATCCTTCCTTGACCTCTGTAAGCATTCAAAACTAAGCACTAATTTCAAGCTCAAGTGTCCTCCCCAAAGAGTTACTTAAAATGAAGTAATTGAGGGTGTTCTATAATTCGAGGGAATTTAAGGACTCAAAAACAAAGTCATTCCCTCATTTCTAAGGAATACTTTTTTGGAAAAAAATTAATTGCCTTAAATTTGAGAATATTTAGTACATTGGAACTAATAAAGTAGGGGAAACAGTGATAGAGATATAAAAGAGCAAAGCAACTTGAATATCATCTAGCTATGCTGTACTTAACTTTTGGAAACTACTTTTTAAATTTACTTTTCTTCTTTTCACTACAGGTCTATGTTTGCACTGTGTGCCAAAATGTTTTCTGTGTGGACTGTGACGTTTTTGTTCATGACTCTCTCCATTGTTGTCCTGGCTGTATTCATAAGATTCCAACTCCTTCAGGTATTTGATTCCAGCATATAGTACACACAGAAGTTTGCAACTATAAATACAATGATTCTTTAGAAGAAACTCCAATTAAAATATGAAGAACAATTTGAAAGGAAAGTCTGATATAAGAGCCCTCTTGCTTTAAAGCTTCCTTTGTAATGACTGGTAAAGTATTGATTTAATGGGGTCTATCTAATACTGCCATTTTGGTGGTTTGGTGTCTGACTTACATTATAGTTCAGGTTAATGAACTATCTCTGTTAGTCTCACTCAAGTTCATACCCTGGGACTATTTAACTTAATCGTCTTCAACTTTCCTACCCTGGGTAATCGGAAAAATGTGAGAATGTATGATGAGTTCTGTGTTTCAGATTCAATGAAGATGTACCATTATAGGCAGAACTTTTTTTAGGGTAAACCCTTTTGGGAGTAAATTTGTTTTCCATAGCAAAGGTATGTTTATTTTCAATCTACAAACTTTAATCACTAGATTGAGTTTCACTATGATATTCATGATTTTATAAATAACAATTCTTAGTGAAGAACACTATCAGTAAAGAATGTAATCCCACCCCAGAGAGTCTATTCACTAATCTTGGAGGGAGCCCAGGAATATGCATTTTTAACAGCACATGTGTGCACACATACACTAAGATATAATTTGACCAAAGTACAGATCTTTCTCCCAGGAGTCATACTTTCTGCACCTAGACTCAAATGGTTCTTTGTGAGTAAACAGATTTCAGCCCTAGGTAACCAGGTTAACTGCTGTCTTCCTTCCTTCTGCTCAGTCAGCAAGAGGTATCTGTGGCTTATAGGAGATGCCTTTAACATAATCAGAGTATTGTGTCTCCCCCTACCTGACTTTATATCTAAAATATATAAAGAATTCTTGCAATTCAATAATGAAAAGGTAAATAACCCAATTAATCTTATTTTTATTCTTCTAATTGGCCTGAACTGTTTCTTCTCTATCCCTTATCAGGACAGATAATCTTTCACTTTTAGGTGTCAGGCTTTCCTGGAATTTAATCCTTTTAGGGGATAATTCATTTTAGATTTAATTCATTTTAGATTTTAGATTTTTGACTCTTTGGAGGAAGAGGGATCTTTTAAGGATCTCTGTGATCAGTGATTCTAAGGATGGTATCTGGACCAGTAGCATCAGTAGCACCCGGGAACTCATCAGAAATGCAAATTCTTGGGCCCCGTCACAGACCTATTGAATCAGAAACTCGGGATGGGCCTAGTAATCTGTTTTAACAAGTCCTCTAAGTGACTGTGATGAATGCTAAAGTATGAGAACCACTGCCTCTAATCATATGACAGAGGTACATAGGTTACTTTAAAACAGGTCCTGGTAATAAAGTTCTACAGAACTTAAAAAAAAAAAAATTAACTCAGGTAGCTTTGCAGAAAACAGATCCCAGATATAGAATGGCTTATTCAGTTCTTTAGAGTCTCTTTAAACATAGTGTATTTGTCTATGTAGTTAGAAATTTTTAAAAATCAAATTTGAGTTATTAACATACAATAAAATGTTCACATTTTAAGTGGGCAGTTTGAAGCCTTTTGACAAATAAATACATGCAACAACAACCATAATCGAGAGAGCATTTTCATCTTGCCCAGTAGGCGCCTTTACCATCAGTACTCCCTAAGACTTCTAGCGCCAGGTACCACCGATCTGTTTTCTATCACTGTAGATTAGTTTTTCCTGTCATACAATTTCTTACAAATTGAGTTATGTAGTATATATGTACATATATATAATTTTTCTTTTGCTTAGCATATTTTTAAGATTCATTCATGTTGTGTATATAAATAATTTGTTCCTGAGGGGTGAGAGCATAACTCAGTGGTAGAGCGCATGCCTAACATGCACAAGGTCCTGGGTTCAATCCCTAGTACCTCCATTAAAGATAAATTTTTAAAACCTAATTATCTCCCCACAAATAAAAATAAATAAATTGATTTAATTTAATTTTTAAAAATGTGTTCCTTTTTACTATCTACCAGTATTCTATTACATGGATACTTTATTCACCATTTGGAAATTGAGGTTGTTTCTGGTTTTTTTGGTTATTATGAATAAAGCTACTGTGAACATTCCTGTATAAGACTTGACGTATTCATATGTTTTCATTTTTTTGGGTAAATACATAGGAATGGGATTGCTAGGTTGGATGGTAAATGTATACTTAACTTTACATGACACTGCCAGGCTGTTTTTCCAAAGAATTATACCATTTTACACTCTCACAAGCCATATATGAGAGTTCAGCTGCTCCATACATCCTTAACCAACAGTTGGTATTACACAATCCAAATATTAATTTTTAGAACATCTTCATAACTTTACGAGTAGACAGTGATTTCTTAGGACACAAAAAGCACCTATCATAAAAGAAAAAATTAAAATCAGACTTTGTCAAAATTTAAAACATCTAGCTTCAGAAGATACCAATAAGAAACAAAAAGACAGTTCACAGACTGAGAGAATATGTTTCAATGCAATCATCTAACAAAATATATAAAAATTCTTGCAATTCAATAATAAAAAGGTAAACAACCCAATTAATCTTATTTTTATTCTCCTATTTGCACATGTCTCAGTTTTCTTTTATTAAAAGACAATACAGAAATGATGAAATGATGCCTAAGGGTCCTGAATATATGGTGAAATGACAGAGGTCCCTGATGCAATGACATGAAACCTGGCATCAGCACCTGCATACTCTGTTAGGTCCCCTTTCTTGATTGCTGCATACTCTTTCTTGTGTTCAGCCAACTTCAGGAATATTTTATATTTCTTGTCATATAGTATCTTTTATCCTTACATCTGGGAAACAATTTTCCCAGCTTCACTCATTGTTGCATGGCCTCCTGTACAGAAGTGACATCCCTTGAGGCATAGGCTCTGAGATGAGCAGCACCCACAAGGACAGACTTCACTTCTTGTGACAGGACCACGGGCCTGCCAATAACATCTGCACACGTTTGCACAGAAGGGGGATTCTTGCTCAGGTCCCCACACAGGAAGAGTGCTGACAGAGCACCCGGCCTCCACGGCCTCTGTACTGAAGCGAGTCCTGAATGCAAAGGCTGCAGCTGTGGTCAGGTGGAGAACGGCAGGATCATCAAGGTCCTGAGACAATGTTCAATCCAGTGACCATGCTGTTTAGTATCAGATCTGCTAAAGGAGACCGGTTGCCATGGAAATCTGGCCAAACACGTAAATCAACACTGAGGAAGCCTGCAGGCTGAGGTTTCTTTATCAGATCCAGGTGACTGTTCAAATATACATACACACTCTGGCATCTGGCTGTGGCCTTGGCTTGTAGCTCAGGGAAGGAAGCATGGCTCTGTCCCATGTGGGCTTATCAGTTTTCTGGTAATGCTCTGACCACATTCATGCAGTCAGAAGTAGGGACCATGGCTGAGAAATAAGGGTCCCAGACGCCTGGTAGAAAAATAGGGTTTTGTGCTGATCCCCATGTGACAAAAAGATATTCCACAGATAACAGCCAGCCATGATGTCACTGGCTGTCCCTCACAGATGTGGCCATGACCCCTCAAATCTGCTGCAATCACTCCCTGGGGACAGAGATGCTGCTGGCAGCCATTTGGGGGAGCTCATTCCACCCCGAGGACACTGGTGTTGGCGAGCACCATCCCAGAATCCTCCTACTAAACAACCCAGTTTAAAAATGGGCTAAAGATTTGATCTCTTTACCAAAGAAGATACACGAATAGCCAATAGGCCATTAAATTAAAGCCACAAGATACATACCTATGACCTAGAATGGCTTAAATTTTAAATACTGTTCTCTATGTGTATGTATGTTTTGGTTGATAAGTCATTGAAAATTTGACTCAAAACGTCAAATCCTCTGTTCAGATTGTGTGGTGGACATTTGTGTTTGTTTTGGCTACCCAAGTTTTCTCTTCCTTTGGGGATTTTTTTCCCCTTCTTGCTATACAAAGGTGATACTTGTACCTTTTTCCAATTAAGGCCATGCAGAAGTTTTCCATGTCACTAGGGGTAAAAGGGAAGCTCTTTCAACTGATAAAGAGATCCACTAAACATCTGCAAATGACTAAAATCAAGAATAAGATAGGATATCTATTCACTGCTATTAAGCAACATTCTATTAATATAATCAATTCAACAACAAAATGAAATGACATAAAAGACAAAAGTATTATAATATTCAGATAATACAAATATCTACCGTGAAAATCCACGAGGATTTACAGTCGTATATTAAAAATAATCGGGCTCTTGAGGCTCTGCCGCTCTGGCCCGGCGGCGCGGGCCCCGTCGCCCAGGGAACGGGCTCCCGGCAGCCCCCGCGGCCCGGAGTCCATCCCCGCTCCTCCAGCCCGTCGGGCCGACGCCCC